GCTTGACCTAGGCTACAGCTTGACCTAGGCTACAGCTTGCCCTAAGCTATAGCTTGACCTAGTCTACAGCTTGACCTAGTCTACAGCTTGGCCTAGTCTACAGCTTGACCTAGGCTACAGCTTGATCTAGGCTACAGCTTGACCTAGGCTACAGCTTGACCTAGTTTACAGCTTGACCTAGGCTACAGCTTGACCTAGGCTACAGCTTGACCTAGTCTACAGCTTGACCTAGTCTACAGCTTGAACTAGTCTACAGCTTGACCTAGGCTACAGCTTGACCTAGTCTACAGCTTGACCTAGGCTACAACTTGACCTAGTCTACAGCTTGACCTAGGCTACAGCTTGACCTAGGCTACAGCTTGCCCTAAGCTATAGCTTGACCTAGTCTACAGCTTGACCTAGTCTACAGCTTGGCCTAGTCTACAGCTTGACCTAGGCTACAGCTTGATCTAGGCTACAGCTTGACCTAGGCTACAGCTTGACCTAGTTTACAGCTTGACCTAGGCTACAGCTTAACCTAGGCTACAGCTTGACCTAGGCTACAGCTTAACCTAGGCTACAGCTTGACCTAGGCTACAGCTTAACCTAGGCTACAGCTTGACCTAGGCTACAGCTTGACCTAGGCTACACCTTGGCCTAGGTTACAGCTTGACCTAGGCTACAGCTTGACCTAGGCTACAGCTTGACCTAGGCAACAGCTTGACCTAGGCTACAGCTTGACCTAGCCTACAGCTTGACCTAGGCAACAGCTTGACCTAGGCTACAGCTTGACCTAGGCTACAGCTTGACCTAGGCTACAGCTTGACCTAGGCTACAGCTTGACCTAGCCTACAGCTTGACCTAGGCAACAGCTTGACCTAGTCTACAGCTTGACCTAGGCTACAGCTTGACCTAAGCTATAGCTTGACCTAGTCTACAGCTTGACCTAGTCTACAGCTTGACCTAGTCTACAGCTTGACCTAGGCTACAGCTTGATCTAGGCTACAGCTTGACCTAGGCTACAGCTTGGCCTAGCCTAAAGCTTGACCTAGGCTACAGCCTGACCTAGGCTACAGCTTGACCTAGTCTACAGCTTGACCTAGGCTACAGCCTGACCTAGTCTACAGCTTGACCTAGTCTACAGCTTGACCTAGGCTACAGCTTGACCTAGTCTACAGCTTGACCTGGGCTACAGCTTGACCTAGGCCACAGGTTGACCTAATCTACAGCTTGACCTAGTCTACAGCTTGACCTAGTCTACAGCTTGACCTAGGCTACAGCTTGACCTAGTCTACAGTTTGGCCTAGGCTACAGCTTGACCTAGGCTACAGCCTGACCTAGCCTACAGCTTGACCTAGTCTACAGCTTGACCTAGTCTACAGCTTGACCTAGGCTACAGCTTGACCTAGGCTACAGCTTGACCTAGTCTACAGCTTGACCCAGTCTACAGCTTGGCCTAGTCTACAGCTTGACTTAGTCTACAGCTTGACCTAGGCTACAGCTTGATCTAGGCTACAGTTTGACCTAGGCTACAGCTTGACCTAGTCTACAGCTTGACCTAGGCTACAGCTTGACCTAGTCTACAGCTTGACCTAGGCTAGAGCTTGACCTAGGCTACAGCTTGACCTAGGCTACAGCTTGACATAGGCTACAGCTTGACCTAGGCTACAGCTTAACTTAAGCTACAGCTTGACCTAGGCTACAGCTTGACCTAGGCTACAGCTTGACCTAGGCTACAGCTTGACCTAGCCTACAGCTTGACCTAGTCTACAGCTTGACCTAGGCTACAGCTTGACCTAGGCTACAGCTTTTACCCAAGCTACAGCTTGACCTAGCCTACAGCTTGACCTAGCCTACAGCTTGACCTAGGCTACAGCTTGACCTAGCCTACAGCTTGACCTAGTCTACAGCTTGACCCAAATCTACAGCTTGACCTAGTCTACAGTTTGACCTAGGCTACAGCTTGACCCAGGCTACAGCTTGACCTAAGCTATAGCTTGACCTAGTCTACAGCTTGACCTAGTCTACAGCTTGGCCTAGTCTACAGCTTGACCTAGTCTACAGCTTGACCTAGGCTACAGCTTGATCTAGGCTACAGCTTGACCTAGGCTACAGCTTGACCTAGCCTACAGCTTGACCTAGGCTACAGCCTGACCTAGGCTACAGCTTGACCTAGTCTACAGCTTGACCCAGTCTACAGCTGACCTAGTCTACAGCTTGACCTAGGCTACAGCTTGACCTAGTCTACAGCTTGACCTAGGCTACAGCTTGACCTAGGCCACAGCTTGACCTAGTCTACAGCTTGACCTAGTCTACAGCTTGACCTAGACTAGAGCTTGACCTAGTCTACAGCTTGACCTAGGCTACAGCTTGACCTAGGCTACAGCCTGACCTAGCCTACAGCTTGACCTAGTCTACAGCTTGACCTAGGCTACAGCTTGACCTAGGCTACAGCTTGCCCTAAGCTATAGCTTGACCTAGTCTACAGCTTGACCTAGTCTACAGCTTGGCCTAGTCTACAGCTTGACCTAGGCTACAGCTTGATCTAGGCTACAGCTTGACCTAGGCTACAGCTTGACCTAGTTTACAGCTTGACCTAGGCTACAGCTTGACCTAGGCTACAGCTTGACCTAGTCTACAGCTTGACCTAGTCTACAGCTTGAACTAGTCTACAGCTTGACCTAGGCTACAGCTTGACCTAGTCTACAGCTTGACCTAGGCTACAGCTTGACCTAGTCTACAGCTTGACCTAGGCTACAGCTTGACCTAGGCTACAGCTTGCCCTAAGCTATAGCTTGACCTAGTCTACAGCTTGACCTAGTCTACAGCTTGGCCTAGTCTACAGCTTGACCTAGGCTACAGCTTGATCTAGGCTACAGCTTGACCTAGGCTACAGCTTGACCTAGTTTACAGCTTGACCTAGGCTACAGCTTGACCTAGTCTACAGCTTGACCTAGTCTACAGCTTGAACTAGTCTACAGCTTGACCTAGGCTACAGCTTGACCTAGTCTACAGCTTGACCTAGGCTACAGCTTGACCTAGTCTACAGCTTGACCTAGGCTACAGCTTGACCTAGGCCACGACTTGACCTAGTCTACAGCTTGACCTAGTCTACAGCTTGACCTAGTCTACAGCTTGACCTAGGCTACAGCTTGGCCTAGTCTACAGCTTGACCTAGGGTACAGCTTAACCTAGGCTACAGCCTGACCTAGCCTACAGGTTGACCTAGTCTACAGTTTGACCTAGGCTACAGATTGACCTAGGCTACAGCCTGACCTAGGTTACAGCTTGACCTAGGCTACAGCTTGACCTAGGCTACAGCTTGACCTAGGCCACAACTTGACCTAGTCTACAGCTTGACCTAGTCTACAGCTTGACCTAGTCTACAGCTTGACCTAGTCTACAGCTTGACTTAGGCTACAGTTTGGCGTAGTCTACAGCTTGACCTAGGCTACAGCTTGACCTAGGCTACAGCCTGACCTAGCCTACAGGTTGACCTAGTCTACAGGTTGACCTAGGCTACAGGTTGACCTAGGCTACAGCTTGACGTAGGCTACAGCTTGACCTAGGCTACAGCTTGACCTAGGCTACAGCCTGACCTAGGCTACAGCTTGACCTAGGCTACAGCTTGACCTAGGCTACAGCCTGACCTAGGCTACAGCCTGACCTAGGCTACAGCCTGACCTAGGCTACAGCTTGACCTAGGCTACAGCCTGACCTAGGCTACAGCCTGACCTAGGCTACAGCTTGACCTAGGCTACAGCCTGACCTAGGCTACAGCTTGTCCTAGGCTACAGCCTGACCTAGGCTACAGCCTGACCTAGGCTACAGCCTGACCTAGGCTACAGCCTGACCTAGGCTACAGCCTGACCTAGGCTACAGCTTGACCTAGGCTACAGCCTGACCTAGGCTACAGCCTGACCTAGGCTACAGCTTGACCTAGGCTACAGCTTGACCTAGGCTACAGCCTGGGCCTAGGCTACAGCTTGACCTAGGCTACAGCCTGACCTAGGCTACAGCCTGACCTAGGCTACAGCCTGACCTAGGCTACAGCTTGACCTAGGCTACAGCCTGACCTAGGCTACAGCCTGACCCTAGGCTACAGCCCGACCTAGGCTACAGCTTGACCTAGGCTACAGCCTGACCTAGGCTACAGCCTGACCTAGGCTACAGCCTGACCTAGGCTACAGCCTGACCTAGGCTACAGCTTGATAATAAGATAATAAGAGCCTGTGATACAGTTCTTAATACAACTGTTAATACAATTTAATACAACTGTTAATACAACTGCTAAAACCCATAAAAGTAAATAATTACTATTACATTTCAACGGTAAGCGCTATAACCGTAAGGGATGGAGAAAAACACACTCAGCCTCACCGACTGCACGACCCATTTGGGTTGAGCGTTCTCTTCTGAATATAAGGGACATAATGAACTTTCCAGACGGAGAATCTAATCTCTATCCTCCCACGGGAGTGATAGAAGGCGCGCGCGCGCGCGCGCGCACACACACACACACACACACACACACACACACACACACACACACACCACACACACACACACACACACACACACACACACACACACACACATACAAATACACACAATATATATATATATATATATATATATATATATATATATATATATATATATATATATCAAAAATACATCAAAATGTTTCTTAGTTTTACATTCTATAAACAAATACTAATATATTAATAATAATAATAATTATTATTATTATTATTATTACTTTAGTATAAATACAACCCAGACAACATATAATAAAGACATTAAATAATAAAATTTTGAATGAATGTCCTTGGAAAAACACTTGACACTGAGGCTTTTCCTGTATATGTTAAAACAGGAAAAGAGATAAACATCCACACCCAGCTGCCTTCTTGAGAGAAAGAGAGAGAGAGAGAGAGAGAGAGAGAGAGGGGAGAGAGAGAGAGAGAGAGAGAGAGAGAGAGAGAGAGAGAGAGAGAGAGAGAGAGAGTGGCACTCACCGTAAAGCCAATCCCTACAGTAGCGGAGAAGGTACCAGGCTGGAACTTGCCAGTGTCAAACTGCACCAGCAGGGAGGTCTTGCCTACCCCGGAGTCCCCCAGCAGGATGGTCTGTAGGAGCCAGAGATACATACAAGGTGAGACACACTTACTGTGAGACACTTAGTATTGACGTGCAAGACACATGTACAGTAAGTATGTATCTTCACTGACGACACTCAAGTGCTGTACATGTCTCATTCATGAGCCTCTCGGTATTGTATACAATTATCATCGCAACCATCATCACAATCAATACCACTATCACAATCGTTATAATCATTACCAGTGTTAGTTTGTTTGGCTTACAATCGAAGTACCCAGGTTCAATCCTCACTACCACCCTCTGGAGAAAGATTTATTGTAAACTAAGAACCTCTCTACTACCTACTAGGTAATAATAAAAATAATAAATAATAATAATAGGACATAATTATATTTAATAATCATATTAATTATAATAATAGGATGTAATATAATAATAATAATAATAATAATAATAATAATAATAATAATAATAATAAATAATAATAATAATAAAAATAATAATAATAATAATAATAATAATAATTGCCTAGAGTGAAACGTCTTCAATAATAAAGACTTCACTGTGCAACAAACGCCTTGATGTTATACCTGCCATCAATCTCTGTCACTCGTCAACCCAAATTCCAGCCGGGTTGATCCAACTGGCTATGCGGACAGTTTCACGTGTGATCAAAATCCATTAAGTGGAATTTCTGGCTGACTGACTGGTCCCCTCTCCCGGCAGCAATTTCTCTGCTGATCGAGTTTGTCAATTAATTTTCTGACTGATCATTTTACCGACGCGTTCACTAATTAAAATAAGATTTCGTTCGGATTTTTAATCCGGCAGGGTTAACCACCCAGGATAACCCAAGAAAGACAGTGCTTCATCGAGGACTGTCTTATTTCCACTGGGGTCCTCAGTCTTGTTCCCCAGGATGCAACCCACACCAGTCAACTAACACCCAGGTACCTACTTGCTGCTAGGTGAACAGGACAACAGGTGTAAGAAAACGAGTCGAAATGTTTCTACCCCGCCGGGAATCGAACCCGGGCCCTCCGTGTGTGAAGCGAGAGCTTTCCCACAAGTCACACCATAGATTAAACGATGCGTTTCCATGGTAAAAAAAAATATGGGTGTGTATGTGAATTATGGAAGCGCGTGTAAATTAAGAGTTGGAAATAATATATGAGCAGAAAGGATCAAAGGAAACTAGTGTGTGTGTCGCTGTGGACTGGTCAGAGATATTGTAAACACGTTGGTGGCTTGTGTTTATCAGTGAACCAGTGTAGCGTGAGCGAGATGTTTTATTAATACACAGAGAGAGAGAGAGAAAGAGAGAGAAAGAAAGAGACAGAGAGACAGAGAGAGCATGTACCTGCCTATTTGTGGCTGCTGAAAGAGTGCGAGTCTCTGCTCCTTCCTCTCCTACCATCTCTCGTCCACCCGGCCATCATTCCTATCCATGTTGATCTCTGTCATACCCGCTATTAAAGCTGTTTAAGTCATTTGATTCACGCACTTGTTAATCGTTCCACGTCCCCTTATTCACAGTCAACTTAAACAGCACTCACGAAATCGTAATGACACGATTGAAAACAAACCATACCACGGGTGGGGATAGAACCCGCGATCAGAGAGTCTCAAAACTCCAGACCGTCGCGTTAGCCACTGGACCAGCTAGCCACAATAAGATTCGTCCAACTAGGTATATTTCTACACCATAGGAAGGTTAGCATAGGCACCACTGTGACCACAAATGCTAGTTTTTACAGACGAATCTCCAGCTAGTGTGGCCGTGACGAACTCTAGCTCAAGTCCCCTCCCAGCCGTCAACATGACTCACGAATCGTAATGACACGATTGCAAACAAACCATCGCGGGTTCTATCCCCGCCCGTGGTATGATTTAACTTAAACAGCCTCTTTCTCGAGTTCCGTTGCGAATCTCTGCAATTTCTCTAGTTTTCCCATGAACATATAAATAATAATAATAATAATAATAATAATAATAATAATAATAATAACCTCAAATTACAAAAAGAACTCTTTAATACTCATGGGAAAGCGCTAAACCCTAAGGGTCACACAGGACCTGGGGAATGGGAGGGGGTAGTCAAGTTTTGATCCGAGGATGGTAAGAGTTGACGCCAGTTAAACCCCATTATAGAGCAAACTTACGCCCGAAATCCACAGCATGTTAGTGGATTTCTTTTGCGCTTAACAATATTTTATTACATGTAAATTACATTCTGAATACTGCATAAGGAAATAAATATTGCTTATAATATAGGATGGATAGCAACTGAAGCATTTACTGTAGTTACCCTTAAAATATGGTTCGTTTTCTTTCAGTATTCATAGAAAATGAATAAAGGAATAACTAAAATAATGTTAAAAAGTTACCCTTGTTTGACGAAAGTTTTGTATATAGGCTAAGAATAATAAGCTACATTACCGTGACTGGAACAATACATAAATAACCCGCCTTTAGGAGAGGCTAAGTAATGACGTTTGGGTCCGACTTGGACCACTGACAAAGCACAATAAATAAGGAAAGAAGGTCAGAATATATACAAACTGGGGTGAGCCTCATCGTTCGTCCCTCTCCTAAGTTATTTCTGTATTTCTATTTAGGCATTGTGTGCCATACACACTATGCAAATATTGTTTCCAATGGTACTGAGGGCACATAATACAGGTACATTATGTAGATTTAACCCAGGATAACCCAAAAGTGTACATTATGTAGAGCGAACCCAAGATGTTCGTGGCTTGGCTGGTAGCGTCCTCAGCTCACATGAGGGTCCGGGATCGATCCACGGCACGGGTGAAACTTTTGGCACCTGCTTCCCCTCTTCACCTAGCAGTATGTAGGTACCTGGGTGTTACCCGACTGTAGAGGGTTGCATCCTGGGGGTACAAGATTAATAATAATAACATAATATTTTTATTTCTACAAGTACATGTGCCTAGCTGACATCAATGACATACTACTATATAGAAAACCGCTTGTTATGCTGAGCATTTCGGGCAAATTAAGTCAGTTTTGCCCCAGGATGCGACCCACACCAGTCGACTAACACCCAGGGACCCAATTTTATATTGATGGGTGAACAGGGACAACAGGTGTCTTATGGAAATACGTCCTAATGTTTTCCAGCCGTACCCGAGATTCGAACTCCGGACCTTAGTGTGTGAGCTGAGTGCGCTAGCGATCGAGCTACGGGACACACCAATGGAAATAAAGCAGACAGTCCTCGAATATATCATTAAATGTCCCATGTCCAGAGGGCCCTCACCATCGCCACTGCCTCCTGCTGCGTCTCCACATCTGCTACGCCCTCAGAGATCCGTGGGGACGGGTTTGGTAGTAAGTGCTCAATAATAACCCACATTGAGACAGAAACTGATGATGGTCTGTATATTTCGATCCCCTTCTGGGATCCTCTTCAGCAGATACATAAGTAAAATGAAGATCCCAGAAGAGGATCTAGGTTATTATTGGCTAACAAGTGCTCATTACCCTTGTTAAATAAGTAAAGTAAGCAACTAAATAAACAGGATTTATTTAGGAGCAGTTGCACATAAGTACAATTATGATACATAGCGTAAATTACCTAGGATAACCCAAACAAGTCAGACAAAATGACTGGGAATCCTCACACCTGTGCCTGTTGCCGAGACACCACCTGCGCCACTGACGAGGACTGTGGCTCATGCCACACCACGGTGAGTCTGCTCAGATTCTCCCTATGTACCCTTGTTGTCGGGGATTGAGGCTGACTTGTTCCTGAAGAAGACTGTTGTGTCTGAAACGACCAATACCACCAGCACAGCCCCGGCGGCTGGGCGGCCACTCCTACCTGTCTGTTCCCGTGCTGGCCGGCATGTCTCCTCCGGCAAAGGGCCTGGTCGTTGAGTGTAGTGCCACGTCAGTGCAGCTACGACCTTGACCACCTTGCTGTGGCCCTCTTGGGAAAAACCCCGATTTTGTTATGCTACCGCATCCTTGCGAGACACTAGCCGCAGTCAACCTGCTGCACCTCTTGGCTTATACTCTCATACTCCCTCAGGACAAATCCTGACGAATAATGCAACATTAACCCAAGTTAACTCAGTAAAGTACATTACGTAGATTTAACCCAGGATTAGCCAATAAAGTCAAACAATGTAATTCGTTTCCATTGGGTCCCTTTCACTTTGGTTTAGAAAGATACTTGAGCAAACACTAGGACACATTTCTTAGAAAACGTTTCGGTCCTGGGACCTTGATCTTTCTAAACCAATTTTCTGGTATCTATTACCAATATTTAATCCCATTCACTTTATACAGATTTTGTTTGGATTGGTAATCCGAACTGTTGAAAAGCCAGAAGAATACAATAAAGTCATGTCATCAAACAGGCTTAATTTTTATTACGGTCCTTCTATCATCTCCTCAAGAAGGCGACCAACAACAGCCGCCATACAACCAAGATATCTATTTACAGCTAAGTGAACAGAGGCACGAGGCATAAGGAAACATGCCCAGTGTTTCCACTCATCTGGAAATCGAACTTCTTTTCCCTCTGGATGTGAGCTGAGGCAGCTACCAAGTGAGCTAAGAGCAGGTTTACATGACATCAATTACATACAAACATGCAGACTAATAAATCAAGTTTGAGTATTTTAACAATAGAAAACACGTTAATCACGGAAGAAGAAATCACTATCGTCCCCTTTGTGAAGTTTCGTGTATTATTCTTTGGATCTATTCTTAAATGGTTTATACTAAGACTGGCTTTGACGTGATCAGGTCACTTATTTTAATCCTTTATCAGTGTATAATGGAGAAAAAAGCCTGACCACTACTGTGTAACAGGTGTTTGAGACTTGGCCACCTCTGTAACAGGTGTTTGAGGCCTGATCACCTGGGGACTCACCTTGTGTATAATGTCGTCTTCTTCAGGGGTAGGGAGTGTGGGAGGGGCGGGGGCGACGCCCCTGTACCCTGTTGGACTGGGAGTCCTCTGCCTCTCTGTTCCCGTCTCTTCTACTCGCAAAGCTGCAAGAAGATGCAGTTTTGCTGATTATACTCGCCACTGTTGCCACACCTGCATGGCTCACATAACGAGGAACACACTGGGGTAGAGGGATGCAGTGAGGTGTGTAGGGGGAAGGTGGGGTGGGGTGAGGAGTGTGGGAACGTGGGGAGTGTGAGGACGTGTGGAGTGTGGGGACGTGGGAAGTGTGAGGACGTGGGGAATGTGGGGGACGTGGGGAGTGTGGGGACGTGTGGAGTGTGGGGACGTGTGGAGTGTGGGGACGTGGGAAGTGTGAGGACGTGGGGAATGTGGGGGACGTGGGGAGTGTGGGGACGTAGGGAGTGTGGGGACGTGGGGAGTGTGGGGACGTGGGGAGTGTGAGGACGTGGGGAGTTGGGACGTGGGAAGTGTGGGGACGTGGGGTATGTGGGGACGTGTGGAGTGTGGGGACGTGGGGAGTGTGGGGACGTGGGGAGTGTTGTTGTGGGTCTCGTAGAAACATACTGTGCTTATCAGACCTCTATTTGTTGAGTAGTTGCAGCTCTAGAGAGAGCTTTCTCACGTATCTTGCTCTAGAGAGCTTTCTCACGCATCTTGCTCTAGAGAGAGCTTTCTCACGCACCTTGCTCTAGAAAGAGCTTTCTCACGCATCTTGCTCTAGAGAGAGCTTTCTCACGCATCTTCCTCTATAGAGAGCTTTCTCACGCATCTTGCTCTAGAGAGTTTTTTTTCACGTATCTTGCTCTACAGAGCTTTCTCACGCATCTTGCTCTATAGAGAGCTTTCTCACGCATCTTGCTCTACAGAGCTTTCTCACGCATCTTGCTCTATACAGAGCTTTCTCACGCATCTTGCTCTAGAGAGTTTTCTAACGTATCTTGCTCTAGAGAGAGTTTTCTCACGCATCTTGCTCTATACAGAGCTTTTTCACGTATCTTACTCTAGAGAGTTTTCTCACGTATCTTGCTCTATACAGAGCTTTTTCACGTATCTTGCTCTAGAGAGCTTTCTCACGTATCTTGCTCTAGAGAGAGCTTTCTCACGTATCTTGCTGTAGAGAGAACTTTCTCACGTATCTTGCTGTAGAGAGAACTTTCTCACGCATCTTGCTCTAGAGAGAGCTTTCTCGCGTATCTTGCTCTGGAGAGAGAGCTTAATCACCTGTCGTACTCCCACACCTGAGACACAGCTGGACTCAGTGGCGGAAGTGGTCGTGGTGTGGAGTGGGGTTGTGTGGGGGAGTGTTTGTGGTGTGAGGGTCGAATGGAGGGGTTGTGGTGTCAGGGGTCGAGGGGTCATGGTGTGGGGGTCGAGGGGAGGGGGAATGATACAACGGTATTAATTTTTTTCATACCCAAAAATAAATATTTTTGATACATAAGAACATAAGAACGAAGAAACACTGCAGAAGGCCTACTGGCCCATGCGAGGCAGGTCCAAGTCTCCTACCGGCTTAAGCCAATGCACCCAACCTAGTCAGGCCATGAAGGCCAAAACGACATGGGTTCGAATCCTCGGCTAGTCGCCGTGTTGTTATTGATTCAATACCACTCGTTCTTGGTTAAAATTATATATATTAAAAAAATGGGATATTAATATCCATGTGATAACTTGTATGTGCCAAATCTGATTCACTTTAAATCCTCGAAGTTAATACTTCGCAGTTATGTCACACTTTGCACTAATCATTTAGCGTGCACTGACGTACACGGGCCTGCAGTTATAAAATACGGGGGTTACTTTCTGGAATTGATCAGAGACCTAAATGTATCTAGGTATTAATCTTAGCAGTAATGGTGGTTGGTTAACATCTTACCAGCAGAGGTGGGTGGGGTGTCCTGACTGGCGTTGAAGCCACTGGTGGGTCGTGAGTAGTAGCCTGAGGAAGGTCTTGAGCCGTTGACGAAGTGGGTGCTGCCTGGCCCTATACCCACGCCCATCTCCAGTGCTGGCATCTCTGCTGAGGGCGAGAGGAAGACATCGTCGTCGTTGAAGTCGTCACTCATGATGGCAGCAACAACAGTACTTATGGTCGAGCAGAGTCGAGGAGCGCCTGAAGACAGCTGTTAAGTGCTGAGAGCCCCTGATGGCTTACCCCATATAGCCTCGTACCTCCTACCTCGATACTGATCCAGGACCGACCGAAGCGTCGTCTATAGTTTCCTCTTCAAAGTGTGGGCTATATGTGCAGTGATGCGGGAATCCGGGTAGTATAAAAAAAGACGACGGGGTGACACGTTAACTACGTCTCATGTGTTTCTGTACAGTAAGTCGGTGTTGTTGTTTCGTTGTTGATTTGAGCAAAGATTCAAAAGCGTCGAGAGTTTCTGTGAACCTGAAGTATCACTGTCCTCCCTGCATCAGCGTCAGGACAATTAAGATGACAGAACTGTGTTGGTAGCTATCTCTCACCTGGTTACTACCACGGGTTTAGTGATCCGAGAAGTGTATGACAATATCACATCCACCGTGCTCATGTCAAAGGCTGTTTCGTGAACACTGAATCAACACTGCACGTTGATTACGGGTGTTGACGTGTTGTATGTGAATTTGAGAATAGGGATAATAGCTAGGTTTGTGTATCCACGCTGCTGCTACAACCCATAGAAACGTATGTATCCACGCTGTTGCTACTGTTACAACACATGTGATGGCTAGGAGTGTGTATCCACGCTGTTGCTACTGTCACAACACAGGTGATGGTGATGTACACTGTGCTAGACAACAGTATGGTGAGCGTCCACGCTGTTGCTGTCACAACACAGGTGATGGCTAGAAGTATGTACCCACGCTGTTGCTACTGTTACAACACAGGTGATGGCTAGGAGTGTGTATCCACGCTGTTGCTACTGTTACAACACAGGTGATGGCTAGGAGTGTGTATCCACGCTGTTGCTACTGTTACAACACAGGTGAGGGCTAGTATTGTGTATCCAGCCCTCTGCTACAACACTGGCTCTCAACACGGCGCCAGCATAACCACTGTGTTAGAGGCCACGCCCTCTTCTCTTACTGCTGGCCCTGCTTCCTCTCTCTCACACACACAGTTGCAACTCGACGCCTCACCTCCCTCAGCTCCGCCACATCTGCAAGGACCAAAATCTGTATTCATAACTTTGCTCACAACGATTTAGCTGACTTCGACAAGAACCTTTTAAAAGCTTCGCCTTTTCCATGCAGAGACAAAGTTATACATACCTAAAGGTCTGTATATCTGTGTATACATATACCATTAATCAGCTTTAATGCCTATTTAAGAGATTAAATAATCTTTGTATATGAATAAGATACAAGGCTTTTATTATTAGTTATTATTAAATATTATTATTATTATTATTATTATTATTATTATTATTATTATTATTTTATTATCTGATTATTATTATTATCAAATATTCTGTTTACCGTGTTGCATTTCGAGTGTTAGTATCTCTAAGTAAAATGATTCGTTCGGAATAACCCGTAAGTTTGCCACCCATATCCCGCAGTGTCTCTTCGGAGACGTCAACTTACCAGGCGGCCTTATCGTCCACCAGCGAATCGACAACCTAGTCCCGACTAACTTCCAGGTACCTATTATAGGTCGAGACAGGACAAAGGTGTAAAGTTGTGAATGTTTCCAGCCGAATCACGGCCTCTGTGATTTTTTGAATCTGTAAGCAATCACGGTGTCGAGTAAAATATAGAATTTCGTCAACTTGGGATACTAGTAGTTAATATCTGCAGTCTGATACTATAATTGGTAGCAAATAGTCTAGTTTGTGCAGTTCAGACAACGGCACTGTTTTTTGTTATTCTGAACATATAATGGGCGTAGATCTGTACAAAATCTGGGTCTGTCAAATCTGGTCTGTCTAAATCGGTGTCTAATATGTGCTGTACAATCTGCGTCTGTCCGACAAATCTGGTTCCTACTTCTGCCGCTGTAACAATCCAGTGCTGCTAAATCGGTGTCAAACGCTGGATCACGGCCTCCGGAAGTTACTACCTTCACGGACATTGCTGCTCGGACGACGCAATAAGACCCGGGCTCAGAAAGTTAATAGCTTGCAATATTCCGTAGAAATTGACAAAGCACACGATTGGAGGAGATACTATGGCTAGCTCTAAATGTGCTGCTCCTCTGCGTCTGAAACGCATACTAGCTGCTCTACCTCCTCTCTCTCTCTCGTGTCTCTACTCTCTCTCTCTCTCTCTCTCTCTCTCTCTCTCTTTCAACTGATTCACCCCAAACCTCTCATCGCCCCCATCAAGATAGATTTACAGTCCCATTTGACCTCGTCTTTCCTGCCCTATTCTAATTATCCCTGACCCCCATTCTTCTTCATTATATCCATAATCCTGAAATCATCTCTTTCATTATAGTCATAATCCTGCCATCATTATATGCGCCACACCCTTCATGGGGGGAGGGGGGGAAGAGGTGCCTTGACACCACTGCATGGCTCCCGATCCGAGGTATCAGAACCACCCTTCCCTCCCTAAGATGGAATTTGATTACCTGTTCAGGTGCTGTACAACCCCTACGGGTTTAGGGCTACTCCCGAGGGGCGCTAAACCTGGTGTTTATAGCCATTTTTTTTTCCAGTTTGTTGGGTTGTATTAAGCATTGTGTGTGTGTGTGTGTGTGTGTGTGTGTGTGTGTGTGTGTGTGTGTGTGTGTACTCACCTAATTGTACTCAACTAATTGTGGTTGCAGGGGTCGAGACTCAGCTCCTGGCCCCGCCTCTTCACTGATTGCTACTAGGTCCTCTCTCTCTTGCTTTCTGAGCTTTATCATAACTCTTCTTAAAACTATGTATGGTTCCTGCCTCCACTATTAACTTGCTAGGCTATTCCACTTCCTGACGACTCTATGACTGAAGAAATACTTCCTAACGTCCACTGTGACTCGTCTGAGTCTTCAGCTTCCAGTTGTGACCCCTTGTTCCTGTGTCCCTCTCTGGAACATCCTATCCCTGTCCACTTGTCTATTCTCCGCAGTATCTTGTATTCGTTATCATGTCTCCCCTGACCCTTCTGTCCTCCAGTGTCGTCAGTCCGATTTTCCCTCAACCTTTCCCGTACGACATTCCCTGAGCTCTGGGACTAGCCTTGTTGCAAACCTTTGTACTTTCTCTAACTTCTTGACGTGCTTGGCCAGGTGTGGGTTCCAGACTGGTGCTGCATACTCCAGTATGGGCCTAACATACACAGTGTACAGTGTCTGAAACGATTCTTTTAAGGTATCGGAACGCTATTCTCAGGTTTGCCAGGGCGCCCGTATGCTGCAGCAGTTATTTGGTTGATGTGTGCCTCCGGTGACGTGCTCGGTGTTATTGGGCACCCCGAGGTCTTTCTCCCTGAGTGAGGTCTGTTAGTCTTTGTCCACCTACCTCTTCTCCGTCTGCGGTCTTCTTTGCCCCTCCCCCTATCTTATGACTTTGCATTTGGCAGGATTGAATTCGAGAACCAGATTCTGGTACCACATGTCCAGCCTTCCCGGCTCTTTGCAGTCTGCTACTCATCAACTTTAATTCTTCTCATCAACTTCAATCATCTGCGATGGTCATTTAGGTCGCATTCTTCCATCATGTCGTTCGCATATATAAAAGTGGACCTGGCTCCTAGAACTGACCCCTGTGGACCCCCGCTCGTCACAAGCGCCCACTGTGATCACCTCTTCACGTACCAATCCCCCGTTTGCGCCTCCGTCAGGTTTCCACTGAATCCATTGCGTGCCTCCCTGTTAACAGGGCCCGATCCTCAGTCTGACAAATCTCTTGTGGGGAACTCACCAGCCTCTTGCAGTCTAGGATAACGCATCAACCCACCCCTATCTTCGTGTCTACTTTGTACCTTCATAAAACTCAGGAGGTTTGTGATAACAAGATTTGCCTTCCAGACCCCTGCTGGTTTTCATTTAATTTTTGCCTTCCAGTGTTCGGACACTCCTCCTGATTATCTCTTCCATGACTTTGCACAATACTGGGAAACAGGTTCTAGTTTAGGCTCGTTTCTGTTTCCTTTTTAAATTGGGCTACATTTGCTGTCTTCCATTCTCGTTTTGCCCTGTGAGGTTGTTACCTAATTGTGGTTGCAGTGGGGTCGAGACTCAGCTCCTGGCCTGTGTGGTGTGTGGTGTGTGTGTGTGTGTGTGTGTGTGTGTGTGGTGTGTGTGTGTGTGTGTGTGTGTGTGTTGTGTTTGTGTGTGTGTGTGGTGTGAGTTGTGTGTCCCGGTGTTGGTGTGTGTGTGTGTGGTGTGTGTTGAGTGTTGTGAGTGTGAGTGTGTGTTGTGGGTTTTGTGTGGTTGTGTGTTGTGTTGTGTGAGGTGTGTGTACTCCTTAATTTGTACGCACACTATTTGTGGTTGCAGGGTCAGGGTTCACAGCTCCTGGCCGCCCCTCTTGGATTTGTTGTCCCTCTCCTACTCCTGCCCTGAGCCTCTATCATCCGCCTTAATTATATGTTGGTTCATGCTCCACTACTCACTTTCTAGGCTGTTCCACGGCCGATTCCCTTATGACTTTAAAAAAATACCCCTACCATCCCCTTTAATCTGAGTCTTCAACTTCCATTTTGACCCTGTGCTTGTTCCATCTTTGGAAACATCCGCTTTGTCCAGCATGTCTATCCGCGCAGATTTTATATGTCGTTATCATGTCTCCCCTGCTTCCTGTTCCGTTGTCGCGCCGCATTCACATTTCGTTGATCCTCCGAGTCTGGCTGTGTTGTTGCAAACCTTTCTCCTTTCCGTAATTTTTGACGTTTGCACTAGGTGTGGATTCCAAACTGGTGCTTGCATTCCATATGTTAGGTGTTGTGGTGTGTGTGTGTTGTGTGGGGTGTGTGTGTGGTGTGTGTGTGGGTGTGTGTGTGGTGTGTGTGTGAACGCTTTCTTGGTAAACGTTCCTCTGAGATTACAAAGTATTGCATGTATCATCATAACTAATAATATAATAATAATATAATAATAATAATAATAATATTTGTTAACACATGATACACCTTATACAGACCATAATGCTACACATCAATGACATACTATATATATGTAGCCCCTTGTTACTGCGGAAACATTTCAGGCAATTCAGGTTATTTTAGGACCCCAGGATTTGCGACACCACGCCATGGTCGACTAACACCAGCTACTTACGTACTGCTTAACGGTGTGAGCAGTACAGCAGCAGGTATTCTTAAGTGTTTCCAACCTTACCGGGGATCAATACCACGGACACTCCATGTGTGAGCTGAGTGCGCTACTAACGGAGCTACGGGACACCGTAAGATGGGTAGCAGTAACGAGTTGTGTTCTACAGGTTCCCGAACATTTAGCTGAAGGACACTTCGCCGACGGACATTTCACCGAGTGAACATATGGCCGGACTGTCATTCATCACAGCATGTTTCCCTAACATTAAAAAGAAGAAATAAAAAGAACAAAATTGAAAAGAAAATACCAAACCTAACCTAACGTAATTATCCGTTCGGTCTATTATCCGTTCAGTCTATTATCCGTTCGGTCTATTATCCATTCGGGTCACTTACTGACCCGCTCGTTACTTGTGATCTTCCTTGATGACCTACGAGAGTACAACGAAGAGCACCACTAGAAAGCAACGGGTTTATATGGGTATATATACGCAATCAATTAGTTATTGCCTTATTAGTGTTAAGAGGCACGTAAGTTCCTCCGTCTTCTAGTAACATGTTCA